CAAGGATGTGGATGGTGATTACTCACAAAGCTGCTCCAAATGAAGCCAAACACTCCAGGTTGTTTTTTTCCTTGTGAGTCATTTGGTAACAGAGCTTCCTCCTTCCCAGCGGTGGTCATGGGAAGAGGCTCCGAGCAGGCTGTTAGTCAGCAGAAAGGCATTGAACTCTGGGCAACAATCGACACCTTGTAACATACACCACAAACATTTTCAACTAAAACTAGAAACACAGAGATCATTACGGGTTTACAAACCTACAAGTGTCTATATTTTTAGATTCCTGGTTCTATTTATTTAAAATATACTTTGTTGAATGGTATGCTTTAGTATGTGCAATAATTGCAATTTGTATTTTCCATTTTAAAAAGCAGTAAAATCAAGTGAAAAAAGGCAACTGGTTTGAATGCATTTTGTGGACCAAAATTGAGTCACTAAATGTTTTACTTTCAGCCAGAAGTTTGCTGTGCTCTCTTGCAGTGGGGTTTCCTTTTCTTAATGTACATGGAGTAATGGAGTCCAACCGTAGTGCAGGTTGCTGTGGTCTCAGCATTTAATCCTTTACTGAGTGACTAAAACACCAGTGATAAATGAAGTGCAGCAATAGAAACTGTAAACCCTTGTCCTTTTATTTTGACTTTTCTAATTGCTGAACTTTCTCTGCTTTCACATCATCTATTACCAAATTATTAACATGCAATGAGAGAGGGGAGGAGGGCAGAGGACAGGGTGGTGGTCTTAGAGACACCACCGGCACCTTTGCAGCATGCATAAATCACCAGGCTAATAAATTGAAAGCTAAATGACTTCTTGCCCTCTACATATATCATGGAGGCGAACCAAATGAAGCCTTATATACCCTAGAGGACAGAGGAATGCTTCTGTTCATAACAGTGATTTGTGGATGGCTCCCATGGCTGCTGGCTTCAGAAATCAGAGGCAAAGTGTTTGCACTCCAAGTATGCTTACTCATAGCAGCATGATTATGTATATCAGATGTATGTCAATATGTTAAAATAAGTTTGAAAAATACTCAATATTCAAAAACTTTTCAAATATCTACCAAATTATCTGTACAACTGCAATTCTTACTAGGATAATAAAAAATAAATAAGAAAACTGTCAATTTTTCTGATAAAAGTCATGATGATACCCAAATTATGTTTTAATTTATGCATTCATTACTTAGGTGTTGGTTCGCAATAACACATGAGGGTTAACACAAATGAACAATGTGGACAACTGAAACTCACTCAACATCAATACAATGGCGCCACCCACTGGACGGACACCATCAGGTTCTGTGATACTTAAATGTCTGTACAGCAGATACATCTTACAAGCTTCTGTATAGTATGGATTCTTTTTAATATATCACCTCAGTAACAGTGAGTTAAAGATCAAATGACTATGAATACAGCCAAAAAAAATGGAAAATGTATGTTTTTAATTCAGCCGTTTATAACAACAGGCCAAAATCAGTCCAGTTCATGTCTGTTACTGGAAAAACATTAAACCATGGGAGGAGGACAGGAAGCAAATGCATCACCATAATATGAAGGATAGTCAGCATGTTCTCAGTTAGTGCATCATCCAAATTTCTATGAAACAAAAATGCGACTAAGTTTTTCTTGGCAGTTAGCTGGGATAAGAGCCAGATGAAACAGCATTTTTTTGTCCTCCTCTTAAAGAAAATATAGTCCTGCCAACCTCTCCTTAATCCTGCCTGGATCAGTGGAGCAGATCGAGCAGCTAAGATGAGCTTTTGTTTGTGAGGTCTCACCTTGTCCATCGCCCTGATGAAAAATTTCATCTGTCTGGGACTCTTCTTGAAAGGCAGTCTGGGTTGAGTATTTGCGTTGAATGAAGCTGGAAAAACATAACGTGCATAGCAGAATAAACCTCAGCATCTTGGATGTGTGCCTAGTTTAATGCATCACTGGAATGTTAATACCGCAGTCAACGGATGCACTTAAGAGTGTGGTGTGAGAACATTTTCAGTGTCATAATTTGTTGTGCAAAAAATCCACAGGAGACAGAAGACACTTCAGCATGTATTTTTCTTAATACAGCTGAATGTTCACACACTAAAAGGCAGGACTCCGTGTTGGTACAGGTTTGGCAGGAGTGTCAGTGACAAGGACTACTTAATGTGTTAATTTGGTGATGTGTTAAGAGGAACAGCAGTGGCTCATGTTGGCACAGAGCTCTCAGTGAAACACAACAGCAGTCTTGGAGAAGCTGTGGACATGGCTGTGATGTAGTTATGATCTTCTTGATAATTTAGTTTTACTGAGAACAGTCTGTCCAGAGTTTAGCCCTTCTTAAAACTAAAAAAGCTCTTTTGTGAGCGAAGCTGCAAAAATAAGACAGTGGTCAACAGACAAGTGGGGAAAAAAGAAAAAAAGTCTAACTTCAGCCTACTCTCAAAAATTTGATGAGTAAATGTGGTATATAAAAAACAAAGAGAAGCCAAATGTTGCGGTGGCTCTGTTGTGGTTTGTGCATTTTTTCCTGGTGGATATTTCCTGGTGTATATGCTGGGTAAAGAAATTTCAAAGCAAGCAAAAACAGTTCTCCCTGATGGGAACTGAGTCATTCAGAATAACAATGTCCATAATTATAATGAACAAAGGTTCACTTAATGGTAAACAAAGAAAAGGCAAAACATCTGAACACTGGCGGGCTCAAAGATAGCAGAAGATTACTGTATACTGTATATTGTTTTGTACTAAACATTTCCAAACCATCCTTTTAAATATGGATGCCTAATTTTGCGCTCAGAAAAAAATCTGGATAGTTTATGTCTACAAGTTTTCTCCATGTTTGTACAATAATTGTATGTACATTTGAACAGAGAAAAATGTGTCTCTTAAAATAGTATACTATTTTCAGTATACCAGGTTGGAATATATGTTTGCTGTTGATCTACTCGAGAAGGCAGAAATGTCTGCAGTTATAAATATTAAAACATAAAAATATAGTGATGATGAACATTTCTTCCTGACTATGGGATACTTGAATTTCAGCAGATGCTTCTGAAGCAGAATTTCAGCAGCATTCCTGTCTGCTATATACAGTGGTAGTGGCTTGTCAACATGTGAACCAGGTCAATTGTTTGCAGTCTCCGATCATGGACATGTGAAGGCTGTAAAGGTCAGATGTTTATTGAACAGTGTTTCTTTCACACAAAAATCAATATGAAAGTCGTCATTCTGCACAGCCATCTGCACTGTGCTTACAGTGTCTATGGATGATATAAATGACAGGAGGTGAAATATTTTCCATCTTACAAACTGTAAAGCCTCAGTCCAGCAGCAATATTCCCAATAATTAACTGCTATCTGCTATAAAAAGCTCCCAAAACAAAAGTGGTCACATTTCATTAGTCACAAATTTGAACGCCTCAGTGCATCTGAAAAATGGGGACCTAAAAAGGCAGTGTCCATCTTTAATTTGGATGCCTCGAACATTTTTCATTGGTTCTCCACATTTCACTGTAACACTATCAGCGCTTCACCTTTTTGTTGCAACAGCAAAATACATCCCTTGCAATACATAAAAAACATGTAGACACAATATTACTCCATAGTAACTCTACACTTAAAATATATAGAAGCACTCAAGCTATTTTGTACATTCTTTGAGCCATTTATCATCTACATTTGTAATTCTGTATAGCTCATCTTACATGCCTAAATACACTGCTCATTCACACATATATTTCTATAATAAATCATATAAATAAAATAAACAAATAAACTTTCTTTATTTTTGACATTTTATACTGTAACTAAGCACATGACACTACGGTCATAACCTTAGATGTTCAAAGCTACAACAGTTATGTTCAGTATTGATAATTAATTGTTAATGTGTGGTTCTATAACTACAAAGAACTAGGTACATTATTTATCTACATCAGGTAAATAAACTGACAGAGAATTTCTTCCTCTGAACTGACCCTCATGTTCAACTCTCACTCAAACAATGAACCTTTGTTCTCTCTGTGTTCCCTAATAAAGGATGCAGTGAGAGCAGCGCAGGCAAGTGTTTTACATATTGCTCTTTACATCCAATAAAAAGTTTTATTTTGTGCTATAACTACTGTAGAATTATTTTGTTTTTTAGGAGAAATGTCTAATTAGTCTTAGAGATTTTGCCATGTTTTTCCAAGTTTAACAGAAAATTATGAGGCACAGTTCGCTGATTTTTCTTTACTTGCTGCCAGAGAAGTGACATAATTCTGGCTGACCAGGAGGTAAAGGAGGTATTAAGGGGTAATACCAGGAAGAATGATGTGAACTCTCTGTCTGATGGATGTTTATACAACATTTGTTATCAGAGTGAGAAAATCTCAGGAGTGTAATGTGCCAATAATTTCTTGTTTGGTGTCACACTGAACATCAGATCTAATGTTTCATATCACTGATTTTGCTCTTGATGTTTCTGCAAAACCCCTTCATGCACAATTATCCTACGCTGTTTATCATTAACCTTTACAAGAAAAAACCTCTTAAGTACAACTTTATACAATCACTCTCAGCTTGGAGATTGAATCAGTTCACTCTGTTACCTGATACCATTTTCCTTATTTGATTTACTTTTCCTAAGGTGCATTCAATGAGCCAAAGTAAAGTCCGTTCAGCAGTCTGTGCTCTCTGTTTGATAGAGCACCAGCACACAATGCCCTCAGCTGAAACTAGCTTAAACAAACAGTGTAGGGAAATGCAAACAGTCGGAGAAAATGAGAGGAAAACTCTTCAGGGGAAAGTATTTGTATAGTATCGTGTAATTTAACCCTACTTAACTGGAAAAATGGCAGTAAGTAAAGTATTTATTTAAATAACAAGTATAGATTTTGTAATAGTCCTGCATGCAGTTTTACCAAGAGACTGCTCTCATGTCTGTAGCCTTTATTATTAGCTATTATTATTATATTAGCTATTAGCTTTTTCACTTGCACATTTATTAGTAAACAGATCAGATAGTTTTAAGCAGTTTATATTTATTCGTATCTCATGCAACACATCTCAATTTCAATATCAAAGTCGTCATTTGTCTAACATTTCAGTGAGGGGAGGCACTGTGTACTGTATATGGCACCCCTCTAAACAATGAGGTTTCCATTTGGCGATAAAAACATGATCAGACAAACGTCAATATGTAACAGTTACATTGTATGCCTCATCTAAAACATTACATTATAGTATAAAAATAGCAAATGCACTAATATTTAAGACAACAATAGTTTATGACACTTTTATATTAGCATCTTTATGGTTTGTTTACTGGCATCAGGGAACTTTCAATTTGGTAAGAACATTCTTGTTTTCAGCACACAAACTTCAACACAGATTAATTTACTGCCAGCAGTGCAACCCTTGAGTTTGTTAGATCGCAACAGTGTTCACATTTATCGGTTTTCTGACAGTTCATTAACTAGTTACAGCATATTTCAGAAAACTAAAACCTAAAAGTCCCACTGATTCACAGGATCTATGTGGATCCTAATAAAAAAAAAATGTAATACAGTCAGTGATTTAAGTTATGTAGTATAAGAAATCTAAATAGCTACATAATATTATTTATGTAGCTATTAACATAAAGTAATGTAGATTTGCAGAAAATGAGTATCTGAGTGGCGACATATTAGCCTACTATTAGAAGGCAAAGCTATCAATATACCAGTTGAGGTTACTGATGCCCAGGATGGCGAAACAGCTAAACTACTGACCTCATAAACATTTGAGAGAAAATGATCAACCAAAATGGCTTCATCACATTTGCACAGACATATATAGAGAAAAGTGACAAACTTCACTTCATTTTCTTCTAAAGTGACATTCCTTCACAGCTCAAACAACATGTTTTACACTCACCAAGTGAGATCTAATAGCGAATAGTGCAAGTACCTGATTGAGTTTCAATAAAGTTGTTTCTAATGCTTTGTGTAAAAATGAGTATGAAATAAAAAAAACCTATACGGCAGCCAAGTAACAACAAAAACAACAGCAAAACCCTACTGTTGTGTAACAAAACCTGTCTCTGTCTCTGTTTTGCTCAAGTGCATGAAGGTCGCTGTGATCACTAGAGTGCGTTTGCATATGGTTTAGGAATTTGGGTACGCGGAGGCTCGAAAGATATCGAGACAGTTCACTGTGATGAGGGCACCAGTAAGGTGCCTCCACTGTCTGGTGGCAGGGTTTTTCATTTTGTCCATGGCCAAGTGCAGATCCTGAATCATGTCCCTGTAGCTGTCCTCATAATGCAGACTCCAGGAGTACAGGTAGTCGTAGGCGGGCTTCCACATTGACTGAAATAGAACAGGAAATACAGAATTTGTAAAATAAAATGCATACAAATCTTCTATATATCCATTACTTTATGTGTCAATGTGTACAGTCAAACTGACCTGGGCGACGACTTCTCCGCTCTTCCCTCGGTGCGGCGCCTCATAGCCTGCTATCTGAGCACTGGAGAGTTTTCCCATCTTCTCAGCGAGCTCCCGCCAACGAACTCCCAGCTCCACAGCAGTGGACAGAATGACTGTGTTCTGAATCAGCTGGGCCACAATCTTCACACAGTCCATCTTCAACAGACCCTAAGGGTGATACACACAGAGAACAACTCTCACAAAACCATGGAAAACACAGGAAATCAGATAATACAATCTGTAAAACTGCTATAGCATGAGTGGTGGGTTATGTACTTACCACCATGAGCTCATGCAGAAACTTTTTTCTAGTCTTATCAGCATGGCAGTCTTCCTTCAGCTTTTCCAGTACACAGGCCACTTTATCGGCCTCAGTTTCGGCGTACCTCCGTGTAATGGTGTCCAGCGACAGGTTAATGTACCCTAAAGCATTAGCAAAACCCTTCCAGCTGGTTATGTGCTCAGTGACCAGAGTCTGGATGGCAGAGTACATGTAAGTAAGCTTCTTGAAGGGCAGTGTCATGTTGTCCAAGAGGACCTTTGTGCTGATTTGAATTCCGGTGAAGTCGATCACTTGGTCTCTGGTTATGAGCTTGACGTTTTTGCAGTGAACCAAACCAGTTCTTCCTCGCAGGAATCCGATATACCACTCTTTAACTTTGGAGTTACCCACTGACCTAACAGTCTCTCTGGATAGGAGAGCTACAGTGTCCCCCTTGAAATACTCCAGAAGGTACTCTACACGTGGCTGGCGGAGAACTGACTTTAGGGCTACACCATACCACTGCAGGTTTACAGGTCTGTCTGTGAATTTGGGGAAATCTGGAACACTTTCCTCAGGAATAGGTGACGTTCTTGCCATTTCAATCCGCTTTTCTGTCTGCCTTGGCACTCGCTTTTCTGATCTGATGGGTGCTGTAGGAGGGGAAGGCACCTGGAAATGTTCAACCACAGTTGCATCATTTGCTTCCTTCACTTTAAGATCTAATTTAAAAGGAGTCATTTCTGTATTACTGGAACAAGACAATGCAACAGGCAGATGTAAAACTGTCCCTATTTTGAGCTGACATTGTCTCACTTCTTTCAGTTTGTCCTCAGGTTTGATTTTAAACACTGAGTCTTTTATGCTAATTCCAACATGCAGGTTGTTCACTTTGTCTGGTTTAAACCCATGCTTTCCCCAAAGCTGAAGCACAAGTGGAGGCAGGTTTTTGTTTCCTCTGCAGATAACTGAAAACGGAAGCTTCGGTGGGACATCCTCGTGACAGCACACAACCACTACAACCTTGAATGATGGATGGATGTACCTGGGACCATAAACTGCTACTGTAATTTGGCGGTCAAGGTAATCCCACACTGACGTAGCAGGGGACTGGATTGCAGTGGCCTCCGCGACTGCAATCACATAAAAATGTGTCTTCAGGTCCTGGATCTTCATCTGCATCATGTTCTTGTGAATGTAACAGTCGTTCACTCTGAGATAAGGTCCCTCTCTTTTGTTGGACACCAGCCCGACCACAGTAGTCATGACCTGACTTATCGGGTCACTCTTCACCTTCCCGGACAGTTTAATATCCAGGGAGATACTCTCCCTTGTGTTGATATTGCTGAGGACCACCTCTACAAGCGGACTCATGGTTGTCATATAGTTGTTATTGAGTCCGGGAGGAGGGTCTAGCATTGCTTTCAGTGTAACTTCCTGGACTTCTCCAGGAGGAACATGGCCTTCTTGGATATGGATGGTAATTTGTGATTCTGGTAACTGTATTGAGCCTCCAGCGTGGCCGATCTTGCAGATAACCTGAAAGTCAGTTGCCTGGGTCTGAGCCCACCCTGGACTCTGGCTCATCAGATTTAAGTCCAGGCATGAGCGGGTCAGCTGCCTGTGGCTCAGCCAGGCCATCTTATAAGCTTCTCTGTCATTCTTTAGCCACTCAAAATCTGGGTTCAGTACTGGCCCAGGCGGCCTGAAACTGTTCTCCCGTTTTGGCACTTTTCTCTCCAGATCATCCAGAATGTCAGAAGCACTTCTCCATCTCCCAGATCTGTTGCTGACTTTGTGTTTGTTTTCCAAAAAGTTCCCCACGTTGCCTTCATCTGAAGATGTGCTACTGGCGTCATCGTTGTTTGTGTCCAAATGCTTTTCACTGTCTTGTTTTATGTCTGATGTGTTGGAAATGTGTTTGTCTGTGCTGCTGTGTACAATGTCATCTAAGAAAGGATTTGATTCAGACAGTTTGTTCCAAAAGGGATTATTTGACTGAGATGAAAGTGCGACTTCTGGCTGTAAAAGTGGCCACTCGGAGTTCTGTGTTGTCACATACCCACCTGTGAAGATATTAGAGTTTGGTTAGGATGTCAACATAATCTGCAGGTTTTCAGAGGCTGTTTATGTTTCAAAGTGAGAATTTTACCATTCCGGTTGTCACTGGTTGAAACACTGTCGTCCAGATCAATCAGTGTCCCCTCAGATTTACTCCGCATGAGACTCCCAACACGACGGAAGGACTTTGCTCTTCCAGCTGCCATATTTTCATCTGTAAACATAAAAACTATATTGTTTTAGTTTCTCTCTTTTTTCCCTTTTTACCTGCAGCATTTAGTTGTCTGATGAAGAACAAAAACAAAACCGAATATACTGAATAAATATCATATTCCATACTTAACTGTTAACATAACTCATCAAGAGTTGTAACAATTATTCAGTTCAATTAGTGGTTCGACAGAAAATAAATGGCATCTATGTTAGTAATTTTGCAAGTCAAATGGTCTGTTTTGGACTTCTGTTTGGACAAAACAAGCGATTAAAACATGTTATTTTGGGCCTTGTTCATTACGTTCTATACATTTTACACATAGAGGCAATTGTTAGTTGCAGACATATATTTTGTGATGCTATGACACATGACAACAACTAATACCTACACAATAAAAGACATGTGACCAAAGTTATTGTTCTGTCTCTGTTTCCTTCACCACAGTGAGCTCCAGGCTTCCTGTATGTTACAGGAAACTGTTCCAAAACATAGAATAAAAGTCTGAACTCGTCGGCTGTCACTTGTTTGCGTAAAAGGACACTACCCATTCATGACTTGTCACAGTGAGTCAGTCATTAATAATGTGGTTTCTTACACCAGTGCACAAAAACAGGTTGGTCTTGTCAAGCCTATGACACAGAAGTCGGCTCACTCAGCGCTTCTCGCCCAGATCAAAGTGCAATACCACTGTACTACTGACAGTAAAAATGCATATTCTGATGAAATACTGAATGACAGGCTTATGTACTGCGCACTGTACTGTGATTCCTGTCATACAGTTAACCTACTCAATATTACCTTTTTTTAAAACATAATCAGCTGAAAACATTTCTCAAACAAATCTTACATTCATTATTAAACCCCCCCAAAAAAGAGCAAAACACACTCACACAGATTCAGACATGAAATCCCAGAGCTTCACCTAACCAAACACTGACAGACTGACTGAGTACAGCGTCCGAACAGGTGTGTGTATACTCAGTAGTTACACATGAATAAAGCAGAGCCTATTTGGGCTACTTCCTATTGAGAAAAGACGTTAAGAAAAAAATAAAAGAACCTCAAATAGCCTACGAGAAAAGAAAAGAAAGTTTGATCTCACCGTCGGCATGAGATGGTTGTAGTTTTGCTTGAGCGCGTTGACAGGAAAAGAGGCCAATCCACTATCATTTACACTGCTTTTCTAGGGCGGATCTACGGAGCTCCCCTCCTCTCGTTACAGCTCTTCGCCCTGTTTGCTCTCAGGCACAGAGCATTTTGGGATTGGAAGTTTTTAAAATGATACAGAAACTCCGGCGGAGGAGTGGCCTCTCGTGGTTAATAACTACAGCGCCCACAATGCACCTCTCTGTGTAAACAAGTCGACCTGACTTACAACACCTGAAACTGAGCGATACCTGTAGTTTCGACAGGGGAGTTTAGTGATAAGCAGGCATGCATCGCCTCACAGGCTGAAGGTTACTGATTCCAAGAGGAGATACACAAGAATTAAGGTTAATACACCCAGAGAGCATATATATTAATTATTTTTTAAATATATTTTTACAGCCTCTGCAGGCCACACAGCATTGAGGGGATTTAACAACAAAAGCAGGTGCTTATAATAATAATAATAATACATTTTATTTAAAAAGCGCTTTTCTGAATACTCAAAGAACTGGACAGAATAATAAAAGAAGAAGACCAAGAAATCATAGGTATACAAACAATATAAAACAGACATTACATAATGTAAAACACATTAGACTCAGATTTTAAAAGCTATTTTATATGATTATATAAATATGATAGTTGTAGTGTATTAATAAGCCACATATAACAAGTTGATAACAAGTGTCACAATTGTATTTCTCATTCTCTATTTCAGTGAAAGAGGTTGTTGGCTTTTACTGTGTGCCATTATCAGGATTTGAGTGACTTTAGATCAAAGTCAAAATGAACCAAACAGAACTTAATCTCATCAAGCCATGTTATCTCACTGAACACACGTTTACTGTGATGAGTACCTGAATTAGATCACAGTTCATCCTTCTAGGAATAATATAACAGGATCACTATTTCAACAGCTTACAGCTTCTCATAAGTGGAACAGTTGCCTGCTAAAAGTGTATAAAACTTCAAATAGCCCCTTTTGGTAGAAGCTTGTTGTTTGTGTTGCAGCTGATGAATATCCATGCCAAAGTTGAAGTGTTCTGTCAGAACTGTTCTTTGGATGCAGGCCCTGGCATCCCAAGGCAAGTTAGTTCTCAAGGAATGCAACTAAGCACTCTTGAGCAGGATTATGAATTTTCATGTAGCAAATATGGTCAGCGGCTGCAGTAGCCTGGACTTCAGCATAACTAATTAACATCCCCTGCTACAGGAGTGAAAGGGTTGTAAAATATGTAATCGAGCATTGCATGTTCAAATGTGACTTGTTTTTCGGTACATGTCCCACTGTTTTGCAGAATTCTTTCTGATGTTGGTATCAACTATTTCAATATGGAAGAAAAACAGCCAGATATGCATCTCCCACATTCCATCAGAACACAGTAGCAAATATTTTCCTATCAGCTCTGGGTCAGACTGTTTTTGTATGAAGTATCTGAAACAGAAGATATACGTGTGAGCAAGTTCTGCTCCCTTGTGGCTGTGGTGAGAACATCTATCAGATAAGGCTGGTCACATGCTCTATTTTGTATTTATTTTTTTTTAACAATTCCCATGAAAAGACCAAAACCAAGTATTGCCTGTGTATCCAAAGCCTGATATAGCTTATACCTCTGTGCGGCACTGCTATTAAAAACACAGCAATGTTGCTATCTACTCGTGTCTAGTAAGTAAATAAATAAAAGTAAATAATAAAAATGAGTTTAAAAAAAAAAATTTGAATTTAGTTGCTTTGGTTTCAGGGTTGTGCATGATAACTCACTGACACACAGTCATGGCTTCCCATCATGAGCCATTGTTTATTGTTTATTAGTAACACCTGTGCTTCTCCTACTCTGACAGGTCAAAATGTCTGCTGTGAAAAGAGCCCTCACCAGAGGTAAGATGTGTATTATAAGGTGCAGTTGTCCATGATAATGTTTTATCAGCTGTTCATATTTTTCTGATCCATCGGTAGGCCTATGCTTGAAAGTAAGATTAACTTTCAAACTTGAATTGCGTTCGGTTTTTTAAATACTTTAATCTTTTCACAACAACACTTTTCATGTTGATACTGTTAATAAATCAAACTGAAATAGTTTACAATTTGAGGAACACATTATTGTATAATGTGGATACAACACCTTTAATGCCACTTCCATCCTGCTAATATAGTATTTACACTGCGGGTAATGATTTTTAGCAGAAAGTAGTAGTACATTTATATGTGGGTTCAGGTCACATTTAACTTCACTGATGACATACAGCCGAGTGACAAATTAAAGGACAAACCAACATAAAGTGCCAGAACAGCTTCAATGCATCTGGGCATTGATTCTACTAGTCTCTGGATCTCTACTTGAGGGATAAACACTTTTCTTCCAAAAGATATTCCCTTATTTGGAGTTTTGATAATGGGGCTGGAAGCCGCTGTCTAACACATTTAATTTGGTTGAGATCTTTTGCTTCTGAAGGCCATATCACGTGATTCACACCATTTTCATACTCATCAAACCATTCAGTGATGACTCATGCACTATGATGACGCATTGTCATCCTTGCAGTGACTACTCCTCTAAGGGGACAAGTGGACCCAAACCATCCCAGCAAAGTGTCCCCCACAGCATAACAGAGGCACTGGATCCCCTCACTGTAGGAGTCAAGCATTCAGGCCTGTACCGTCCTCTTGGTGTGCGACACACATGCACTCGCCCACTTGTCGAGAACATGGTTGGGTAAGGATGACTCATCTGACCATATCATTTTTTCCACATCATGTAGACCAGAGCCTATGGTTTCTGCACCACTTAACTCTCAAATGTGCAGTCATCTTTGTAATGAGGGGTTTATGCACTGCCACCAGACTATAATATCCCTCTGACAAAATCAGAATTAACTGGGCCTGCTCAGCATTTTTATACATGCCACAGAGTATGATTGGATGTTAATTGCTTAATTGTACCATGCAGTGGACCTGTGTGGAATCATCTGCATTCATTACGTTTCCACTCATTTATTGAGGTTTTTCCTTTAATTTGTCACCTGTCTTTTTCCTGCAGCAAATTAGATTTGAAGATCATTTTGTGTGTTTGCTCAGAAAAAGAATAACTCTTCTGTTCTATTTCAAAGTTGACGTACAGCTAAAATTATGTTCTGTGTAATTCACAACTGTGGATTACATAACTGTCATTTTAAATTCAGGAAAAGATTTCACCAATCTCAGTTTCTGCATAGAAACTGATTTATAGCTTTGAATGTCTCAGATTGGGCAACTTTTACATTTAACTGGAGTTGAACTGAGAAAGAAATTCCAACCTGCTGTGCAAACCCCTTTTTACCCCCTGGATACTGAAATGCATTGTCATTAAGTTAAGAAAACTCAAATCTAGAAACGGAATCTGAAACTTACATGTTTGTGCCACTTGGTGGAGCCATTTCTCTACCGTTCATGTTGGTCGAACATTCTAAAACCAGAGAGCAGGTTTTTGTTTAGAGTTTCACCAATCCAGCAAGTAACGAATTGTCTAGTTACAACAAAGCAGAGCAAATGGCCAAAATAAAGCCTACTTCTTTTATTATGTAATGTAACATTAGGTTACAGTGTAACCCTGACATAGTGATTAGGGCTGCGATTGAGGTTTATTTTCATTTTTTAAAAAATGTTGATCACATTTGAGTCAAGTTGATAATTAAAATTTCTTTTATTTAGTCTGACTGACCAAAGATATTCAATAAGACAAGGAAATGCATCAAATCCTCACATTTGAAAACCTGGAACTATCAAACGTTTGGCATGTCTGCTTACAAATTGGCTTCATGAATCGATTATTAAAATAGTTGCTCATAAATTTTCTGTCCATCGACTAATTGACTGTGATATTTGATGTCACATATCTTTCATATATTGCAATATAGGGGTCCCTATCTATCATTGTCTTTGTAATATGGAAGCTTCTATGTATCACCTTCACCAAGATACTGGCTCAGGCCTCACCTGCTGCCAGAACCTTCATCATGAGTGGAGCAGTCTGTCACTGGAACGGGTTTCATAGAAAACCATGGCTGTATGTAAGTATTTTAATCTCAAATCTTGCTTATTCTGGTTCATGTGAGTTTCAGCAGCCTCAAGGATTTTGAATGGAAAAAAATAAGTTTTATATGTTATTAAATCTCTTTCATTGAAGATGTTCCCTCAGGAAGTTTGTTTTCAGGTAGAAAAGTTTGATCCTATTGTGAACTCACACTTATTTTTTTTATAGACACTGATGATGAGGATCAGGAAGGAGGAAAAAAACAGCAGAGCTTCTCTCAGTGAGGTTCAGTCTGTAGGTATTCCACTCAGTGAAAACAGTGAAACACCACCTGGGACATGACTGAATCTAAATTGCTGAAAGGATTGTATAAGGGCATACCCCCGTGTCAGTGTTGCAGCAATTACTGTTAATTATTTTGACTAACCTTGTAACCTCGTCAAATTGCCTTTCCCAGGAGATTGGTTGGTTTGATGACAATGACAATACGGTTGGTGGTTTTAACCACAAAATTGGCCACAGTCGCATCATCGGTGAGAGGTGTTACCACAACACTATGATTTGCTGGTAGAGCTAGAAAACCCCAATATATCTCATCAAATCAATAGCAGCTGGCATTGCCATGAAGCCTCCGTCAAGACTGTGATTCAATTTGAATTTTATTAAGGAGAATACAACTTCAAAATCACTGATACATACAAATTCCTATTATATATCATTATATTATTTCTCTTTCGTGTTCATGACTGGATCAAAGCTGGGTTTGGCTGCCAGGAAACTGTGCTCTGACTGTTACTGTGGCCTTCATCCACAGTTGGCAGCTCACCTTCCTCATCCTGGCATGTGTGCCCTTCCTCTCTGAGGCCAACTTGATTCAAATGAGGGCAGTGGCAGGACATTCCTTTGAGGACCAGGTGATGCTGCAACAGTCTGGGAGGTTGTTGATGACATGACCACGCTGAGACGTGCACTCTAACACATTAGGCCAAAATGACTGTTCATATTTAATGATTTTGAAGTTTATATTTTAGTCATCTGCTGAGGTAGTTGAAAACA